CTTGGGATTCGAACCTGCCACCTTAGGTGTATGTGGCTGGCGCCTTAGCGGCTTGAGCCACAGGCGCAGAGCCAAGTTTGTTTTTTTTTGAGACAGAGTCTCACTTTGTTGTCCTCGGTAGAGTGCTGTGGCGTCACTGCTCACAGCAACCTCCAACTCCTAGGCTTAGGTGATTCTCTTGCCTCAGTCTCCTGAGTAGCTGGGACTATAGGCACCCACCACAACACCTGGCTGTTTTTTGTTGCAGTTTAGCCGGGGTCGGGTTTGAACCCGCCACCCTTGGTATATGGGGCTGGCACCCTACTCACTGAGCCACAGGTGCCGCCCCTACATTCCAAGTTTTTAGCACTTGTGAGAAGGTATATGGTAATAAATAGTGTTATGTTTTCTTGATCATACAGTTTATTAATTTAAGTGTATCTTTTTAGCTTTTGGACATGCTCAAGTTCTATACTGGTTTTGAAATTAATGACCAGACTGGAAATGCTCTGACGGAGAATGAGATGACTACAATTCACTATGATAGAATTACTTCTCTGCAGGTAACTGAAGTGCACTGTAGCCTTTACCTGTGCTCCATAAAGTTGGGTCGTATTAAAATTTAAGTTTTGTATAGACACAAGTAGAAGAAGGTATTCCTTTCAAAATGTTTTCATTTTTAGTTTTTTTTTTTTTTGATGTTTCTGACTTTTATGAATTTATGGTTTAACTCCTATGAATCAGTATACTGATATTTGATCCTCAGAATTAGTTAGTGGGCCAGTTTGACACATACATGTATTGGCTTTGCTATTATGAAAGTGTATTTCAACATGTATGTATAAGCATTTTAAAGGTAAACACATGTAATGAGACTGAAATTTGCCAATACAGTTCAGATATGCCAAAAAAGTACCCTTGTTTTCTATGACTGTTCTCTTGCTCTTAAAACCTACTCTCTGCTGGCAGAGGAAGCTTTTATTTATCAATTTAATGTAATTCAGTTTTGTTTGTTTTAAAGAGTTTTGGTGGGTGGTAAAGACTAAACAAACGTTAAGTTTGAATTCTTTTTTGTTATCAATTCTACTGTGTCTCAAGGAGTCTTTAATCTTGTTCTTTCTCAGAGTAGCTTCTGGATAAGTGAAGATGCTAAGGTAGCTTTATTGTTTTGAAGGAGGAATGAGCTCAGATATCGGCCTCTGCCTTTGAAGTTCCCGTAGCTGCTGTGGGATATAGTCTGTTGTGTTGGCACAGGCAAGGGTGATGATTGCTCCCAAGGAACTTGCCTGTTTCCCCTGCTGAGGAGACCCCAACTTTGGTCCTGATGGTGCTAGCCTTCTCCCAAGAGCTGACTGTCATTCATTTCTTGGCTGACCAGGCTCAATTTCGGGCTTGGGTTGCAGGGTGGTCTTGCTGTTGTCAGCAGTAATTCTACGACAGGCTTACCCATACCCTTGGCAGCCTTTTGTGTCATTCACCATGGAGCATAGGAACACTTGTGAATCTTTTTCTGCCACATGGGCATCAAGGAAGACTAGGGATATCATCTTCATTACTTTGTTAATAAAGCGCCATAGAACTGCTGTTGCTATTTTCTTAGAGCCCACATTGTTTGAGAGTGCTATACTGCCCTGGCTGAGAGTGTTACGCTGCCCGGGCTTACCAGCATACCAAAATTGGGCATGTGTCTCTGACCTCTCCTTCATGTTGTTTCTCCAGCAGCAGTTTATATTGGGACTTTCTTCTACTCTCATCAGGCCATTTCTTGATAATAAAGTGTTTGTTTTTTGCTCCCATCCTATTAGCAAAGCTAGCCTTCTTGGCTATATTCAAGGGCAATATGTTCAAAATCCAGTTTTAGAAATCAAAAACTGAATACTGGTGCCCTATCTGAGATGCAATTTTCTGCACCCTAGCTTCCGTGCCTGCCTTTAAAAGAAAAAAAAAAAACCCAGAAAATTAAACACTGATTTTTGTTTTTACATTTCTAGACCAATTTTAGTTTTTTCCCCATTGTATTGATTCTGACTGAATAAGGCAGAGATCATATATGAGAAGTGAAGGAGGAGAAGTGTGTTAATATTTTCAATACTATTTTACATAGTAAATAAGTTGTAGATCTGTATGTTAATGTGTAGGTATTATTTACAGATTTTTTTTTTTTCTGTCGTAGAGAGCTGCTTTTGCACATTTCCCTGAACTCTATGATTTTGCCCTCTCAAATGTGGCAGAAGTAGATACTCGGGGATCCTTGGTCAAGTGTTTTGGACCTCTTAGGTAAGATAGTCTGTAAGAAAAACTACATATTCTCTTTTGGTATCACATTTTTTTGAAGTCTACTTTTTGTTGTTGCTTTTTAATCATTTTTGGAGAACTTAAGGTAATTTTACTTGTTATTTCACTTTTTATTGACATCTAGAATTAGCGTTTCTCTTTAGTAGTTTAGTATCTTTGAATTACTTAAGTGTAATTATCTATCTTTTTTGGTGGAATTTATTTTTTATGACTTACACAATTTTCCTAGGTCTCAAGAGTTTTTCTTGGGTAGAACATAAAACTGTTCAATGCCATGGGACATAAACAGCGTATAACAGAAACCAGTAAAGATTCATCATGTGTGATATTAGAGGTATAATTAGGGAAGTTTTTGCATGTTTAAAATGTATAAAATTAATAATGTTTTCTGGCACTTAGTATCTTCTGACACACTTTGTTGAGAGTACTAGTAATCGTGGCGTACATTTTTGACTGTGATAGATAGCTCATAGCATATCTATAGATACCTAACTTAGTATAAAAATTGTTTGAGACCAGCCTGAGCAAGAGTGAAACTTTGTCTTTACTCAGAACAGAAAAACCAGAACAGCAGTCTTGTGGCGGGCACCTGTAGTCCCAGCTACTAGGGTGGCTGAGGCAAAAAGATCACTTGAGCCCAAGAGACTGAGGTTACTGTGAGCTATGATGACACCATGGCACTCCACCCAGGGTGACAGAAGAAAATTAAAGTGTCACAAGGGAATTTTGGGGGGGGTGATGAAACTATTTAAGCAGTGGAAAGCTGTGCAGCGCATGGTGGCGATTGCAAGTTTTCACTTAGAAATTCAAATTCAGGTTTACTATAGCAACAAGTAGTGGCTTACTTTATTCAGATATTTGAAAAGAAATTTGCCATCTATCCAAAGGCCAAATATATGTAGTTTATTAGTCATTCTTTCAAGTAAAAATTGTGTGCAGGATTCATACTTCCCATTTTGTCACACAGAATTCTTTAAAAATGGATACTCACGAGCCCAAATTTAATAGCATTAATATTTTTTTGCTACTTTATCAAAGACATTCTGAAATAAAAAATTGTGTTTATAAGTGAGGAATACTATGACTACTTTGTAGTACATGTTGGTCCCACTGCCTGGATCCATGTCAGCAGTTTTACCCTCCATTGCTTTTGCACTGCCAGTGTTTATTACATAAAGACAGTTAGGAAAACGGTGTCTTAACATTTAAAAAGTGTTGTCCTTGTGGACTTGCTGATAGGATCTCAAGTACCATGAGAGGTATTGAGAAAACACTTTGAGAACCTTACATTAAAGGTTTAATGTTCATTGCTGATTGTTACGTGCTGTCAGTGTCATACTATTGTGTTCACTTTTTTTTTTGTAGAGACAGAATCTCACTTTATCACCCTTAGTAGATTGCCGTAGCATCACAGCTCACAGCAACCTCCAACTCCTGGGCTTAGGCGATTCTCTTGCTTCAGCCTCCCAAGTAGCTGGGACTACAGGCGCCCGCCACAACGCTATTTTTTTGTTGCAGTTTGGCTGGGGTTGAATTTGAAGCCGCCACCCTCCGTATATGGGGCTGGCGCCCTACCTACTGAGCCACAGGTGCCGCCCTGTTGTGTTTACTTTTTAAGCTATCTGTAGAAATACTTTTTTGAAAAGTGAAGTAAAGTAATTATGTCAAGTAACTTGCTATGAATAAAGTAACTCAATGTTCTTTATCCTGCAGTTCAAACACCCTCCACCAGGTGGCATCATACCTCTGCTTGTTGCCAACCCTTCCTAAAAATGAAGACACAACTTTTGATAAAGAATTTCTTCTAGAATTGCTGGTAAGTATTAGTGTGTTCTGAATTTTGAACGTGATTTTCCCTGCCTTTTTAAGTCATTCATAAAGATGTGATGGTTCTTTTTGACTAAAGATTATGTAGATAATTAACTATGTGTTTTTATCATTTGAATACTTTTTCTCAAGTCTTTAATCTCTTAAAATTGCTTTGTGGCATGGATTCATTCTTTTAGCAAAGATTTCTGAGGGGCTTCTGGGTTAGATACTATATTTTGGCATTGGTGATAGATATGACATAGCTAGCATCATTCCTGCTTTTGAGTAGGTCAGAGTTACACACATATAATACATATATTTGAATAAACACTTTCATATGTATTTATTTTAAAGGTGATTATTTAAACATAATATATTGAATATTAGGTTATACATCAGTAGAAAAATCTCTTAGAAATAGGGTACATTATAACTAAGTGGTTTAAGAAGTCTAAGGGATTTCTCAGTCATGTTTGGAAATGAGGGACCTTTTTTTTTTTTTTGAGACAGAGCCTCAAGCTATCCCCCTGGGTAGAGTGCTGTGACATCCCGCTCACAGCAACCTCCAACTCCTGGGCTCAAGCGAGTCTCCTGCCTCAGCCTCCCAAGTAGCTGGGACCACGGGCGCCCGCCACAGCGCCTGGCCATTTTTTGGTTTTAGCCATCATTGTTTGGCGGCCCGGGCTGGGGATTCAACCCGCCACCTTAGGTGTATGTGGCTGGCGCCTTAGCCGCTTGAGCCACAGGTGCCGAGCTGAAATGAGGGACCTTAACTTTACTTTTTTATGAAGTTTTTTCTAGTCTTGCTCTGGCTCAGGCTGGTCTCAAATTCCTGAGCTCAGGCAATCTCCTCACCTCAACCTCTCAGAGTGCTAGGATTATAGGCATGAGCCACTGTGCCTGGCTTTTTTTAACTTTTTATTAAAGTAATATATGATTTTATAAATAAAGCATAGTACAGAGGTATTTGAGGTTAAAAAGTAGGAATGTTATTCCCTGTGGGTCTCCATTCTATTCTCCAGAGTTAAACACTGTTAACACTTTCATACATATCCTTCCAGATTTTAAAAGAATTGTGGTTTTTATTTGATTCAGTTTCTAGAAGTAATACCTGAGTGCATTTTGTTATAATATAGAAATACCTAAATCAACACTTAACTCCTTCCACAACTTCTTTGTACATTTATGTAAAAATATACAAATTATAGGAATTCAGTTTTGTAGTTTTTAAAACATAAATTGAATCATGCTGTATTTGCACCATGCTTTTTAAAAAATTTATTCTATTATTTATTTTTTTTGAGACAGAGTCTCAGTATGTCACCCTCGGTAGAGTGCCGTGGTGTCACAGCTCATAGCAACCTCAAACTCTTGGGCTTCAGCAATTCTCTTGCCTCAGCCTCCCAAGGATCTGGGACTACAGGCACCTGCCACAATGCCTGGCTATTTTTTGTTGTTGTTGTCATTGTTTGCAGGCCCCAGCCAGGTTTGAGCCCTCCAGCCCCAGTGCATGTGGCCAGCACCCTAACCACTGAGCTATGGGCACCAAGCCAAAATTAATTTTATTTTTTTATTTTTTGGAGACAGTGTCACTTTGTCACCCTCAATAGAGTACTATGGCCTCCTAACTCACAGCAACCTCAAAGTTGGGCTAAAACAATCCTCTTGTCTCAGCCTCCCAAGTAGCTGGGACTATAGGAGCCTACCACAGTATATAGCTTTTTTTTTTTTTTAAGAGACTGGGTCTCACTCTTGGGCTGGTCTTGAACTCCTGAGCTCAAGTAATCTGCCCATCTCAGCTTCCCAGAGTGCTAGGATTACAGGCATGAACCACTGTACCCTGCCTACTTTTTAAAAATTTAATATTATGTTGGAGGCTTAATTCATTTGTATAGTATTGATGTACCTTGTTTTAAACTTAAATATAATTAATATTTCATAAATTGAATAGTATTTAACCATATCCCCATATTTAGGTAGTTGGCAGCTTTCACTTTTACAAATAATGATGACATTTTTGTATGTGTCTCTTTTTACCATGTCTGGATATTTAGGAGAGATACCTAGAAGTGAAATTATTTGATTGAAGCATGAGCTTCCTTAAAATGTCAAAGGTGCTGTCACACTATCCTCCAAAAGGTGTGCATTTCCATCAACAGTGTATTAAAGTATATCTTCTCATGTTCTTACTAGCATTTGATGTTATTAGTTTTCTATTTTTGCCAATTTGATAGCAAATCTACTATTATAGCAGAATAGTAACTTATTTTAATTTTTTGTTTCTTGACAGCTATAAAGTCCAGTAGCTTTTCATGTTTCAAACATTTTTGTTTGTAAACAAGCATATATTGTGTTGATGTGTATACATGTGTGTGTATTTCTTACCCATGTGGAGCTATATACTCCACACTCCATATTAGATACACTGTATCAGAATTTATTTTGGAAGCTAATACTTTCAAAAAGTATAGGATGTGAAATATGGTCTGTCACGGTAGCAAAGAAAATGATATGCCAGGTTTGGGGAGCCCTGACAAGAAACTATTTGTAGCAAGTGTTTTAAGCCTAGTGACAGATGTTTAAGTGCCATTTGGGGGAGAATTCTTGGGAAGTGTTTTAAATTAGTTCAAGTATGGAAAATACTTTTTTGTCGACATGTTCACTTCCCCCTTGTCTGGGTCACCATCTTCACCTTCCTTCTTACCCATTGCTTTTCATTGTCTCTGACTACAGTGCTTCCTGAAAACTTCTTGTGCCATTTTCTGACAGATGGATTTGGGGGTTGATGATAAACTTTGACTATAGAAAGAAATAAGGATTTTTTCCCCCAGGAATCCTTCTGATTGAAAATAAATTTGAGTATAAAGTTGATCTTATGCTACTTTTAGGGTCTTCTAGTTGGAATTTTATCTTCAAGATTTAAATAATTATGCCAATTTTTTTTTAATTTATTGTACTACAACATTATCCTTTATTTTTTCTTTTCCTTAAAGGATTTTCCTCAGGTTTTGGATTTTGCTAATATCCAAATTATGATTAAAATGTTGAAATATATACATATTGTTTAGATACCATGATGTCTTTTTTCTTAAAGTAATGCTGTTGCCACCAAAGAATTTGACACATTTTCAAATATTATTTGAAACATTATTTAACATTTATTATTTTAACATTGTTAATTAGGTTACAGACTTATTTTTATATTTGAGATAGATTACCATATTAAGGGTACATAGAGGTCATCAAGTCCTTCTCTTATTTTATAAAAAAGAAGACTGAGACTAGGGAATAATACTTTTTCCCAAATTGTACAGCTAGTTAGTATAAGAATGAAAACTACTAATCAGGACTTAAGACTCCTATTTTTTTACATTAGTTAATACTAAGTGCTATGGTTTTTATTTTATTTATTTATTTTTTTGGGAGACAGACTCTCACTTTGTTGCCCTTGGTCAAGTGCTGTGGCATCACAGCTCATAGCAACTTCAAATTCTTGGACTCAAGCAGTCCTCTTACCTCAGCCTCCTGAGTAGCTGGGACTATAGGTTTGCCACAACTCCTGGCTATTTTTAGAGACAAAGTTCTCGCTTTGGCTCAGGCTGGTCTTGAACCTGTGAGCTCAGGCAGTCCTGCCTTGGCTTCCCAGAGTGCTAGGATTACAGGCGTGAGCAACCACGCCCTGCCCTAGTGCTGTGTTTTTTAAACCATTGGCATGTGCTAGGGACTTTGATACCATGTTAAAAAATGCCATTTCATTTTCATAAGAAAACTGAAAGGTGAGTGATACATTATCTGTTTTACTGAAAAGGAAACTAAGGTTAGGAAGGTTAAAGTAACTCGGCCAGATTTTACATTGCTCAGAAGTAGAGGAGCTGCGATTTGATCTCAAGTTTATCTCATTCCAAGCCTAACACTATTGGTACCTCTTTTATCTTTGATTTATGGAGAAAATGGGAAAAGTAAAAAAAGAATCTCATATTAAAGTGTTATAATAACTGACAGATATGAAACATCCTATTCCATAAATTGTTTTGATTGGAAAAAGATCCCCCTAACTTGCTGTATGAACCTGTTTTCCTTTGTTTTAGGTATCTCGTCATGAACGTCGAATTTCTCAGATTCAGCAGTTGAATCAGATGCCTTTGTATCCAACTGAGAAAATTATATGGGATGAAAATATTGTTCCAACTGAGTACTATTCTGGGGAAGGTATGATAAAAGAAATATAAGATTCAGGTGTAACATGAAACTTAATGTAGGATTTATCATCTGATTGAAAAAGTACTCCATCTAGTCTAATGTATACATTAGGATAGTTTTCTAGTATCCTAAACTTCAAATTTGGAAGCTAGATTTAGTATTTTGGAATTTGAAAGAAAGATTTAATATTTTGAATACTTCGCACTGAGACTTTTTATTAAATTTAGCTATACCCTGCTGTGTGTGTGTGCGTATATATGCGTGTGTATGTATATATATATATATATACACACACACACACAAAAGTTTGTTACCCTGTGTAAAATATGCCCATAAAGCAGGAAGACCATCTTTTCAGGGAGATCTAATAATGCAGGAAGTATAGTTTTCATTTTGTCACATGATAGATAGGCTATGTTTGCTGGTGCTTTGTTTTTCAAAGCATTTTTTAGAGGCTCTTTTGAATTCTTTGTAAAGCCAGATAATTCCCACCAAAAAAAGACATTATAATTAGTTGATAATAAGCCATTAGTTTTGATCCAAAATGGTATTGCCTTACCTACCTATTTCCCCAGATTTTGGTTCAAAAATGCTTTGCGTTTGTTAATTTGCTCCAACCAAGTATATTCAAAAGTGCATTCTGGGCTCAGCACCCGTAGCACAGTGGTTATAGCACCAGCCACATACACTGAAGTTGGCGGGTTTGAACCCAGCCTGGGCCAGCTAACCAACAATGACAACTGCAACAAAAAATATCCAGGTGTTGTGGAGGGTGCCTATAGTCCCAGCTCCTTGGGAGGCTGAGGCAAGAGAATCACGTAGGCCCAAGAGTTTGAGCTGTGACGCCACATCATTCTACTGAGGGTAACAGCTTGAGACTCTGTCTCAAAGAATGAAAAAGCACATTCTGATTTATTTTGAAGGCATATTTTAAAAGAAATTTCAGGAAATCTTTTGAACATTGGCTTGATTATTAGAAGTCATCACAGTTATAAGTACTGATACATGTGGGTCATTATGATTGAGTTACACAAAAATCACAAAACATAAAATACACACGTATGGAAACAAATGAAGCCCTCACAGCAACATGGTAAGCTGAGCAAGGTGTAACCTGGCACGAGTGAATCAAAAAGGACACTGTCAACTGTGTTTCTTAGAAGTGAAATAATGGCCCATAACACAATCTGTCTGAAAACTTTCATAGAGACCTACGTAGTTACTTAAGATGGTTACTTTAGGCCAGGCACTGTGACTCATGCCTGTAGATGAGGTAAATCGCCTGAGCTCAGGAGTTGGAGATCAGCCCGAGCAAAAGCAAGGCACTGTCTCTGCTAAACATAGAAAAACTAGCCACACTAGGCATCTGTAGTCCCAGCTACTCAGGAGGCCAAGGTAGGTGGATTCCTCAAGCCCAAGAATTTGAGATTGTCTTGAGCTGGGACACCATGGCATTTTAGCCTGGGCACAGAGTAAGACTTTGTCTAAAAAAGAAAAAAAAAAAGGATGGGGTAGCGCCTGTGGCTCAGTGAGTATATCACTTATATCAACTAGGTGAGGCTGAAATGATAATTTGAGTGTGATATCACGATTCTCAGAGTCAATGAACCTTTCGTTGTGTTCTCCAATTAATAGGTCTGTAACAAATAGATCACCCTGCTCATCAATGGCCTTTGCTAACTAGGGAAAATGTTCATTCAAAATTTCCTTTTGAAGAAGAAATATTTTGAAAAAAGATACCTTTAGACTGGGCATGGTGGCTCACACCTGTAAACCTAACACTCTGGGAGGTTGAGGTGGGTGGATTGCCTGAACTCTGGAGTTCAAGATCAGCCTGAGTTAGAGCCAGACCCCGTCTCTAAAAATTGTTGGGCATTGTGGCAGACATCTGTAGTTTCAGCTACTCAGGAGGCTGAGGCAAGAGAATCGTTTGAGCCCAGGAGTCTGAGGTTGCTGTGAGCTGTGATGCCATAGCACTCCACTGGGGCAACAGAGTGAGACTCTGTCTCATAAAAGAAAAAAGATAGCTCTTGGGGGGGCTAGGTGCAGTGGCTCATGCCTGTAATCTTAAGACTCTTGGGAGGCCGAGGAGAGTGATCTCTTGAGCCCAGGAGACCAGTGTGAGTGCCATGGCACTCTAGCCTGGGGCAACAGAGTGACACTCTGTCTTAAAAAAAAAATGATAGCTTTCCTTGGATTCTTTTGCTGTATCATATATAGACTTAGTTTTACCTTGCAAAGAAATACTCGTTTTAATTTGACAAGGGATCACACAGAAATGGCTTCACTCCTACAGAAATCTTCTTTAAATAATTCACATTGCTGATTCTGTTCTCGTAATTTAGCTTTCTGTTCTCACAGAGACGTTAGTTTGGCTAACACCTGTCCCTGCAATAGCTAGTCCACTTTAGACTGATATGGAAAAGCCGCACTGAGTACCTCATCCTTCAGCTTTAGCATGTTACTGCATTCGCATGAATATAGTTAATAATACTTGTAACTTGTTGCAACATGTCACTTAAAGTAGTAGCTTTAGCATAGAGGTTTTGGGGATGCAAAATACAATGAAAAGAAATGAGAATATCTGGATCTGTTAATACTTTTTTAATATGCAATATGACCTTCATGTTTTCTTTTTCTTTTGCTTTTTTTATTTTTGAGACACTTTGTCACCCTTGGTAGAGTACCATGGCATCATAGCTCACAGCAACGTCAAACTCTTAGGCTCCAGGGATTCTCTTGCCTCAGCCTCCCAAGTAGCTGGGACTACAGGTGCCCACCATAATGCTTAGCTATTTTTTTTTTTTAGAGATGGGGCCTCGGCTCAGGCTGGTCTGGAACTTGTGAGCTCAGGCAATCCACCTGCCTTGGCCTCCCGGAGTTTTAGAATTACAGACATAAGCCACCACCACGCCTGCCCCTTCATGTTTTCTTGTCACGGAACATGCACAGTCTGTACATACACTCTTTAAATTTACCAAATTCATTCCAGTTTCTATTTATCTTGAAAGTTGTTGAAGAGACCTGTTGGCTGTGCTCTGTTCACAAGAATGCCCAAAGCGAGTAACTTTTCATTAGCAAAGAAAGTCTTCTATTATGATCCCAATGAAACATAAAGCCTGTACCGAGTCAGTAGTACCAGTAGATTTATCCAAGGCGATTGAATAATATATATTTTCCTTTTGGACTATGCACAGAGTTTTTCTGTTAAGTAGAAGCCTCATTCATCCTGCTGATCAGTTACGGTTCTCCTTTGGAAGAGGTGGTGGGTTGTGCTTTGAAACATTGTTGGGGTCCAAGCATCCTCCAGCTTTGACAAGGTGTTCTTTCACAGTTTTCACATCACTGGATGACCTTTTGCCCTATGTTTATAAGCTACTTTATAGGATCCTTCAGGTTTTATTCTTGCTGCTTGAAAGAATTATCTTTGCTTCTGCTTTTCATCTTTTAATTTCTCCAATGCAACCTTTGCTCTTCTCCCTCTAATTTAAAAATCTGTGGAGGAGCAGTGAATTTCTTTCTTTTTTTTTTTTTTTGCAGTGTTTGGCCGGGGCCGGGTATGAACCCACCACCTCCAGTGTTTGGGGCCAGCACCCTACTCCTTTGAGCCACTGTTGCCACCGAGCAGTGAATTTCTTTAATGTTGATATTACAGTATCATCTTATCTTTAGCAGAAACAAAATAATGTTGCACTTCCCAGTCCTCATTAACAAATCTGTTTGCTTCCTTCAGTGTCCTCTTGGTCTTCTCTGACATGAAGGGCTGTTAAGTAAAGAAAAAATACTGTTGAGCCACACAGCTATTCACAAATTCCACTTCAGACAGAAACAGAATGCACCATTGTCAAAACCTGGCAACGGAATGGTATACTCGACCCCCATAAACTCTAGCTAACTATTCTGGTATGGTAGTGGAGTCAGTCAGGCAGGAGAAGTTAGAATTAAACCTTGAGTGTAGCAGCTATCAATTTAGCCTGGATGGTATCACAGCTCACAGCAACTTCTGACTCCTGGGCTCAAGCGAGTCTCCTGCTTCAGCCTCCCAAGTAGCTGGGACCACAGGCACCTGCCACAATGCCCGGCTATTTCTTGGTTGCAGCCATCATTGTTATTTAGCAGGCCTGGGCTGGATTTGAACCCACCACCTTAGATATATGTGGCTGGTGCCTTAGCCACTTGAGCCACAGGCACGGAGCTTACTAATGTTCTATCTAACTGTGCTGGTCAATCTGGGGGGATTGTTTGGTTGAAACTTGTTTTGTTCTTTGGTATTTTAAATATGTTCATTTAGAAAATACAATAATGGTGGGTGCCTGGAGCTCAAGTGGCTAAGGCATCAGTCACATACACCAGAGCTGGCGGGTTTGAATCCAGCTTGGGCCTGCCAAACAACAATGACAACTACAAACAAAAAATAGCCAGGCGTTGTGGTGTGCACCAGTAGTCCCAGCTACTTGGGAGGCTAAGGCAAGAGAATTGCTTAAGCCCAGGAGTTGGAGATTGCTGTGAGCTGTGATGCCACAGCACTCTACCCAGGCCAATGGCTTGAGGCTCTGTCTCAAAATAAATAAATAAATAAGCATATACAAACAAACAAATGTGTTAATAAAAATAAAAGGGTTTGTTCTGTAAAATTTGAATTTAGTCAAACGGCCGCCCTGCAGGACCCAGAAGACCACATGTGGCCTTTAGGCCTCAGGTTGCCCACTCCTGCTTTATATATTCCTTTCTTGTTCTCCTGTGGAAGATGAGGTTTCCTAGTTTGACCCATAGAGTTCCCCATGGTCTCAGGTTTTCTGATTGAATACTTAGGGCACAGAGCAGTGTATTCCTCTGCTCTTTATTTTTCTTGCAAATCAGCATGGGGATTAGAGGCTTGATCAAGCTAATGTTCTCAGTGGCAAGAGGCTTGGAGGTGGTATGTTCTTTCATCAGGAGGCACATGCCGTGGGCTTGTCTTTCCTTTTGTGATAGGGTAGTTGTTGATACTTGACACCTAGATTTATTCATTCAGAGAGGGCTGCAAAGTGTGACATTTTATTAGCCTTTTTTTTTTAAATAAAAATGTGCTATCAAAAGAGATACCCTCTCTCAGCATCTGGCCTGAAAGAAATTGAGATAAATTACAAGTCAGGGCTTACTAATGGGCTTACCAAATGATGTGAAACTTTTGCATATAATTGTTTCTTGCCTTAAGCTCTTTATTGCTTTGATAGTGTGGATAAGGATGACGAAAATACGATTTGTCAGTCAAATATTGTTTGGAGGTTCTTTTTTTTAAACAGTTTTGATTATTGCTACTTGGTGCTTGGTCACTAACTGTCCAAGGGAAATATTATGCAGTGAGGATAATGAAAAAAATAGCAGGCTCGGTGCCTGTAGCTCAGCAGCTAGGGTGCCGGCCACATACACCTGGGCTGGTGGGTTTGAACCTGGTCTGTGCCTGCCAAACAATAATGACAACTATAACAACAACAACAGTAAATAGCTGGGCGTTGTGGTGGGCACCTGTAGTCCCACTACTCGGGAGGCTGAGGCAAGAGAATCTCTTAAGCCCAATAGTTTGAGGTTGCTGTGAGCTGTGACGTCACGGCACTCTACCAAGGGTGACATAGTAAGACTCTATCTCAAAAAAAAAGAAAAGAATAGTGTTTATTATTATAGTCAGAGAAGGGGGAATCTACAACGAAATAAAAGCAATAAGGAATGCCTTGTCCTTAATGTATCTAAAAGTTAAGTTCACAGCACATTAGTGATCATTGGAAATGAATTTATGCAATGTATATACTGATTCTGTTTTTTTGCTAAGTTTTGTCATGGGCTAAGGTTATGGTTGCCGTATGCATTTCAAGATTTGCCAAATATAAATTAGGTGATAAAGGAAGAATTTTTAACTACTTGAGACTGTATTATTACTGTGAACTATTTTTAAGAAACACTGTTTGGGGCGGCACCTATGGCTGAAGAAGTAGGGCGCTGGCCCAAGCCAAAAACTGCAACAACAACAACAAAAAGAAGTGTTTGCATATGAATCACTGATACGCAGATTACATGTATTAATAAGACTCATTCTTCATCCTTACTTTGTAATAGACAGCGTTTCTTAAACTAGTTTCAATATTTTTGTGAAAATGAAAATAAGACATGACATGATATGTTTCAGATATCATTAGATTCTTATCAAATCTGCGGTGCCTTTTAAAACATACAGAACAAATGTCTGAATAAAAGAATAATTCAAATGTGGGTGTTATTTTTCTTTTCAGGTTGTCTGGCTCTTCCTAAGTTGAATTTGCAGTTTTTGACTCTTCATGACTACCTCCTAAGGAACTTTAACCTCTTCCGCTTGGAATCAACTTACGAAATTAGGCAGGACATCGAAGATAGTGTCAGCAGAATGAAGCCATGGTTAGTAAGTTGGTTCTGCTTGTAATAAAGAGATGCTAAAATAGTGATTCATATCTATCAGAAACCTCATAAGTGTATTTAGAAACAATAGACCTGGCACAAAGGTGCCTTCTAACATAGGGAATAGGTACTCTTTGAGAAATTTTTTACTGTGAATTCAAATATATCAAAAGTGGTAAAATATAAACGATCTGTGTATTTGGGAGTGGGGCTGGGAAACTGGGGACAAGTGAGGTCATGTTTGGAAAGGGAAGAAAGAGAGAGAGAGGAGAGTCGGCTGGACATTAGTAAGAACGTAAAGAAGAAAGGGCTGGGGTTGACCAACATGCCTGTGCTAAGGTAGGACAGTTTTAAGTCCTAGAGGAAGCATGGTAAGGGGGTATTCCCCTAACTCAGCTGCTCTTATGGCTGTTACCAGTACTGACAGTCAGCCCCTCTAAGGGAATTGGGAGGGGGTAAGGCTCTTACTGATACTCGATGAAGTGGTACATTGAAAAGTGTTGTCTGGTCCTCCATCTATAGATTCCCTTGAGGAGACCATTAGGTCTAGTTATTTGAGGAATGGTTCTACATAAACTCAGCTCCCTACTTGCTAGCTCATGCCTGGAACTCCTTTAGCCAAGAAAACTCTGTCCTTTTAGTTTTTGTAGCAGCTCTGCACTATAAGATTCGTGAAGGTTAATTTCGGTTTTTCAGAAATGACTGACTTTGCATAAATGCTTTTTATTCACTATTGCATTCCAGTTATGAAATTTAAGGAGATGTTATACATCACAGGCAATTATAAATGAGTAAAATTCTGTGAAATGAATTTTTGTACATTATAGTCAGGCCGTATTGACATATACAGTTATACTGTATATGATAAATGAGTAACTTAATAGTGTTTTGTTTTGAGGCAGTCTTACTCTGTCACTCAGGGCTAGAGTGGAGTGGCATAGTGATAGCTCACTGCAACCTCAAACTCCTGGGCTCAAGTGATCCTCCTGCCTCAGCCTTCTGAGTAGCTGGGACTACAGACATGTGCCACCATGCTTGGCTAATTTTTCTGTTTTTATGGAGACAGGTCTTACTCTTGCTCAAGCTGCTGTTGAACTCTTGACCTCAAGTAATTCTCCAGCCTCCCAGAGTGCTAGGATGTTTAATAGTTTTTGAATGTGAGCTGATTCAGGTGTCTTCCAGGCTTCTCTCCTTATTAATTACAGAGAGCTACCACAGACACTATGATTAGGATCTATTTTTTTCACGTGTATGTTTTATATAGTGTTCTATTTTTTAATTAATTATTATGTGAAAAGTTATTCTGGGTGAGACTATAAAACACAACACAAAATATTTTTGACTTAATAATCAGTTGAGTCAGTAGGCAGGCAAACACTATGAAATTTGTATGCCCACTGGCTGTTTGTCCCTGCCCACAGCTTTGCTGAGACTATTGCCCATTGTTTGTACCGGGGGAGTACTTGATCAGAAAACTTCCTTACAATTTATGGTTACCTTGAGTTTATGCTCAGATTCTGGCCGAATTTTGGCCATTTTACTAAGTAGGGATTTATTAACTAGCAGTTCAACCAATAGAATTCACTTATTTTTTACTTATATGCTAAGTACTACACAATTGCTTAGAGTTCTTTTGGTCTTTCAATAAAATAATATTTTTAAAAATTACATCATTTTTCTGGAAGGGTAAGAAAATGCCACTTGGGGAGTTGATTTATTCACATTTGTAATACATTTTTCTGAATTTATATTCCTAATGCCTATAATTGAAAACTAGCAAAAATGATGAAATCTTAAAAGGGGCCAGGCTTCTTTTTTTTCCATGTATCCTTAAGGCGGAAATGTAGCCGAGGCATTTTGACTCATTACATGATTCAAATGATTATGTTTTAAGATTGCTGAGAACCACTAAGCAGCAGGAAGGAAGGAAGGATGTGCTTATAAGGGGCAGAAATCTATACTTTTTAATGCTTCATGTTTCAAGTAAATTTTATAAGAGGAAGAAAGAAGAGTAGATTCATGGTTGTTTGGGGGGTGGGAACAGGGATTGTCTGCAGTTGGAGAAAAGGGATTTCTTTTTTTAAGGATGATGATCCACAGTCGGGTTGTGGTGATGGGTGCACAATCTGTGAATTGTACATTTATAATGAATGAGCGTTGTGGTATGTAAACTGTACATATCACAGTATGTAAAATGGAAAGGGTAATAGAAAGTTATTTCACAAGGGTTTAGACCAATGTAATGCCTTTCAGAAATTGTCATAGTAACCAAGTTATTGGATTGCAAAACTGTATTTTTAATTAGTTTCTCCCCTTAATGTTAAGAACTTCTGTAATTTTTTGTTGTGACACAAAGCCTTTATATAGGGTGTATGTAGTTTATTTTTGTAAACATTTTGTTTTTTGGCAGTACTTTTCACTTTTGGAGTGCTGCTGCAGTTTTTATAGTATAGATTTCCCAAATACACTATTTAATGTAAAAACTAAAGCACTAGAGTAATATAAGGAAGAAGAATATGGGTATTTGGATGTTAGTGCTTCTAATTATTACAACTGGCTTGATTATTTTTTCTGTAGTCCATTGCAGCATCTTTTAAATGATTTAAATATTATACTCGAAAGGGGGGGTTATTCATTTATTTATTTATTTGCGGTTTTTGACCAGGACTGGGTTTGAACCCACCACCTCTGCCCTATGAAATACTTAAAATATAGAACATAAAATATTAACAATTGCGACCATGTTGATGAAGAGGGTAAGAACACAAAATAAAACTAAAGATATCCTTTAGAGATGAAGAAGAGATAAAAGCAAACAGAAGAAAAGCTAAGGGAGTTTATCACCACTAGTTCCTGTTGTACAAGAAATGCTGTGGGAGTTGGTGTGGTGGCTCATGCCCATAATCTTAACACTTTGAAAGGCCAAGTGAGAGGATCACTTGAGCCCAGGAGTTTGAGACTGTCCAGAGTAACATAGGGAGACCTCAGCTTTACAAAAATGAAAAAAGCAAAAAATTAGCCAGGCATGGTAGCATGTGGCTGAAGTCCTAGCTACCCAAGGTGGGAGTGTTACTTGAGCCCAGGAGTTTGCGGAAATATGATGACACTACTGCACTGTAGCCCAGGAAACATAGTGAGACCCTGTTTCAAATAGAAGAAGAAGGAGAAATACTAAGGAGAGTTGTTGAAGCTGAAGTGAAAGAATGAAAGGGGCTCGGCGCCTGTGGCTCAAGTGGCTAAGGCGCCAG